AGATATAATTTATTTTTGATAGGGGAAAAAATATATTGAAGATACAAAATGTCTTCACAAGTTCATCAATTCACAATCACCAGCAACAATCCAAAAATGAATTTCACTCATTTTCACTTTTTTTGCTGATGGTATTTACATAAATATATTTTGACTATTTTCAATACAGTATATTTTTATGTAAATACCATCAGTCAATTTTTAATTTTAATAAAAACTTATAATATTTAATTTACTAAAGTATTTCACTATTAAAATATTTGTTCCTATGAACAAAATTTCCATTTCACAGCATACCATCATTGCATGTCAATTTGTAAAAGAAAATTAAATTCTAAAAATAATTTTTTATTCACATTTATACTTTGCTTCAGCACATAATGTATAGAAAATACAAAATCTTTCAATCATAGTTCAGACAAAAATCTTACTAGAATATGTAAATTTTATTTAAAAAAAATTAATGGCATATACAAATAGCCTTTACAAAAGTATTTGTTTTTTTTTAGTTTAAAAATAAGTTAAATTTAAAAGTTCATGCTTTGTTTAAAGAAGTTCTAAATTTAGGATTTCTTTAACCAAAAGGAACTATTTTGGACTTAAATTAACAACAATTCAAAAGATAAAGACTGGATAAATTATCTATTTACAGAAAATTAATATTTATGATTTTAAATATGAATTTAATTTGATAAGAGACTAACTACTACTTTCCCAAATATTTATGGTATTAACAATTTGCATAATACCAATTTAACTCTATACTATCTATAGCATTAACTTGCAAATCATCTTAAAGTTTTTCTGTGCATACTGTATATGCAATAATATATATACTGTACTGATAAATTTTTGGATAATGCATAATTTAAATCTCATATAATGTCTTTTAAAACTGACTCATAAGTAGTCAAAATTTTATAACTTATATTTTCACTATTGCTTAAGTGGATATTGCATTATTTTTTGATTCAGTATGTATGCACAATGGATATGAATTTTTATATTAACTAACTTATCACAAAATACTTCTTTGTAGTTTGTGGATTGCTTTATACAATATTGTTTATAATTTATATATTATATTCTATAGTTCTCATCATTTATCTGCAAAATCACATCACCAGAGTTTCAAATGTAAACTTATTTAAACTTAGTTATGCTTAGGTTACAACTAATTAAAAATTAGCTTAAAAAGTATATGGTGATTCAGGTTTGGTCTCTAGTACAATATTGCCAAAAGGATTATAATGTAGTAAAGGTAAAACAAACCTAAATTGCCAAATGAAATTCTCATATATATAAAATTTAACATTTATTGTTTTGTCACACATAATATACCAATTTGAAAGTTATTCTTACACGCTATAGTTATCTGTAGGTTGTCTTATGATAATACAAAATTAACTAGAGCTGAACTTAAATAAATCAAGACAATCTTTCTATATTTTATATCTAAGTTAAAATATTAGAAAAAAAAATATATTAAATTAAATACCTGTAAGCCAAGAGTAACGTATAAAAAAGTAGTAGTTTTCTATTCTACAAAATGGGCTTACATTTTTTATTAAAAATCATAATTGAAAGCTTATACTGGATTCCATCAATGGAGCTTCATTACTAACACAAAACATTATTATAAAGAATAAAAAATCCAAACATCATATATTTGATACTACTACAATACAAGATAATTTATTGCGTAAATATATATAAAACCTGTTTTAGAGTTAAAACCCTAAAGAAAATGTATTAATTTTATATATTAAAAAAATAATTTAAATTTAACTGTAACACAATTTACAAATTATATATTTAAAAATTTATTTTATAAATCACAGATGGAGTATATAAAATTTTATATTCATTAAAGTTCAAATTACCAGTCTGCAATGAATCAAAGGATATCAAATGATAAAAACAGATAACCAATAAAAGAGCATATATTATTAATTTTATTATAGGTTCTAATAAAGTATATGAGGTCATCAAAATCATAAAACGTGTCTACCAAAATACAAAAATGCTATTGTAGAAGAGTTGACAAGTTACAGAACACACTTCATGGTGAACACACTTGATGGATAGAATAGGACTTCAAATAATTGGGATACCATCATATTTTCATGACAAAAAAGAAAGTATTCAGCAATCCATTTTTAATACAAATTTAAAAATAGCTATAAAAAAAGCCAAAAACCAAAGCTTAAATATAATTATAATAATTTAATTAGTATAAAAAAAAATAAATTTGAACAGAAAAGAAATATCATTTTATATTTAAATGATATTAAGTTTAAATTCAACATTTAACTATTAAATAATAAAAATTGACTTAATTAATAGAACATAAACGCTCCGGTTATTTGGTTTAAGTAAGTTTAAGTAAGTTGATTTTATAAATCACAAAATTTCAAAAGGTAAGTTAAAACTTTCATAATCCAACTTTCAAGATAGGAAAGTTTAATAATTCAGATAAATTTAAAAATACAGATTAAGTAGATATTAAAAATCAATATAAAAATTATATTGGAGATATTAAAAAAACTATCAGAAACCAATAAAGTAAATTATCCAATATTTAGTTCAGAACTTTCCATTAAAAATAATCATTTGACTTAATGCATGTCTGGCTACTTTAAATAAGATGCAATATTTGAATGTTCAATATTTTATCAATAACCATTTATATATAAAATATTTATAAGAATTAGTACACAAGATTTTATATCATTATTTCCAAAACATAAGAACATAAAATGTGCTTATGCAAATCAATAAATTTATTGCATTTTAAATTTTTACTAAAATAATAAAATTATTTTTTACTGTGTCCTTGTTCCTGTCCTGTGCAAATTTATAATATTCAATGAAAAAATAATTTGTTAAATATAGAATTTATTTTTTAAAATCTGGGTACATGAAAATTAGCTACTAATACAGTGAAATCTTGGTATAGTGCCCTCCTCAAAGTACCAACAAGTATCTGAATGGATCTTCTACTTAATAATTTGCTACTTAATATTTATGAAGATAAATATTAAGTAGAAAATTCTTCTGTAGTCATGAATGATTACATATATGCTTATGCATTGCAGACAATACTAGATCATGTGATTTTCATACTCTCAAACTTAAAATTGCACATAGACCTCATTTCTATATATAAATTTTATTATTTGAGATACTTCAGTTTAGTATCGAACTCGACCGTGTGCCAATTTTCGAGACAAACAAAATGGTAGCATTAAATCGAAGTTTGACTGTACATGAAAGCTAATTTTGTATCATTCTTTAAAACTTTGCCACAATTCAAATTCTGTATTTATATCTAAGGTCATAGTAAAGAAACTAAAAAAAAAAACTAATTCCTCAATAAAATAATTTAACTTCTATAAATATAAGAAAATCTTTTGTTCTTCCTAATTGTGTATATTAGGAACAAATATATTGAACTAAACGAAGACATCATGAAAAGATATTCCTATCAACAGACAGTTATAACTTTTGTATCAGGTATTGTATTACAAGATACATTAAAATACATTATTTGATTTCACTCAGAAAAATTGTTTTATATTTAATAAATAATTTTAAAACTTTGTTGCTTGATATTAACGACGATTTAACTGAATTTATAAATAGAAGTAAAATGTATTACATATGTTTTCTGTCAAATTATCACAAAAGACAGATATCAACCTTAAAATATTGACACTGTAACTAATTTATATTGATAATAAATATCACTATACAATATACATATTTAGCCTTTAACATTTCTGATTCATAACTACTACAAAATATTTATTATTTACAAGAACTTCAATTTCAGAAAAACTAAATTATATTTTCTATTTATATAACAAAAGATAAATTGATCTTTCTGTAGGATGTGCTTTTTATATAGTTTTAAATCTGATTAAGACAAACAAACAAAAAATAAAAAAATGTGGAATAAATTTCAGAAATAACAAAACCTTAACCTTGAACAAAATTAAATGTCAATGTTAAATTGAAAATCTATAATTTACAATTACCCAAGTACAAAAAGGCTAATTAAAACATGCTTAATTAGAAATCATTAATATGTTTTTTATTAAATATGGGAGGAATTATAGAAATCTAATTTAGAGTCCTTATAAGAATAAAAATCATTGAAAATTCACATTTTAATGATCAACTGAAGATGGTAACTTAATTATAATGAAATACATAAACTGAAATAAATCTCAAGATATTTAAGAATTTACACGACTGGTTTTGAGATTTAATAATTATTGTATACATCAGCATATTTTTCTTACTTCGTTGTCATGATAAGCTCAAACAATTCAAAGATGTAAAAAAATACATATTAAAATATTCATGATGATTTGCTGTTTCCCTATACAGTATAAGTATAGTTATATTTAATTCCACATCAACTATATATAAATCTTTACTCATTCACATCTAATAACTGCTTTTATATAAAATATTTATATAATATTAAATTATTTTAGAAAATTTTCTTTCTAATTTAGCAAATCTGTCCATAATAGAATTATTATAAATTTAAAATTCTATATTATCAATAAATATGTATTTGATACATAACACAGATATTTAACATTATTCAATTTATAACTTATATAAAATTATATCTTAATTTTTCTTCTACATTCCAATGTTTTGAAAATAAAATAAAATGTATTTGCAGTGGAAAAATAATTTAAAAACAGAATTTTTTAAAGATAACTACAAATATTCTCTTCAAAGATGAAAGTAATAAAAATCAAGTAATTCATTTGCAAAAATATTCTCATCCAATTTTATAAAACAAAAATGCAACTCAAGATTTCTTAGAATTAGAAGCATATAAATTGATTTTGCAATATTCTCAAATCCAAATATTCCTCTAATTATAGGTACAAATAATCTGTATATAGATTTATTAAAATCTACACTTAGAAACATCAAAATAATTTTTATAATACTAATTGAACGTATAAACAAACCTTTCGGACTCTTCGCCATCTATATTGTTTCTATTACGAAGAGCATCCGGCAATACTTCTAACAGTTGAAGAGGAGGATTTTCGGAAGTCATTCTTTGAGCCTTATCGTTATTAGTTGCAATAATTACTGGACTAGGGCCCTGAGAACTCGGGTCGGGTTTAGACACTGACTGACGACCGACCTCTTGGTCTATAGGAGTAGCCGTTAAAGGTATGGTCTGAATATTCGTGACTAAAGAAGGCTGACTTGCAACGGCTGGAGGTTGTGACATAGGCATAACTTGTTGTTGAGTCTGTGTAACAAGCTGAGGCTGAGAAGTGAGAGGATTATGTTGGACCGAAGGAGCATTTACAGAAGCTAACTGTGTTTGGCTAGTTTGAGGGGGAGGCAAGCCCGAAGTCACGTGCACTCCCGGCGGAATAGCAGTCTGTATAACTTGCGGCACGACGTCGGAGGCGGGCTGTAGGCCGACCGTCGGCACCATGGTTATCTGAGGAGTCCGACCCACGGTCTCGACCGGAAGAATAATTCCGTAGAGAGGCTGAACGGGTTGCTGGTTGATGGCGACGGACACATCGCCCGTGCACGACCGAGTGACGGGTATTTCGTAAACGTGAGCCACCGTCTTGTTAGCGGAATTGTCACCACAAAGAGAATTGGCCGAACTCGCATTACTCGAAACGTTCGAAATGCCGGTCTGATCCACGACCTCGGGCTTGATCTCCTGCTGCATGGCGGGCGGATCCACGAAATCCATGCACAACCATCTTCCACGTTTGAACGGTTCACTGCTCACGATTTTTACTACTTTGAATCTATGCTGCCAGTGATCCGGAATAGTATTAATCATCGGAAGGTGGGAGTTGACCACCGCGTCCGAATGACCGGAGTCGACCGGCACGTTGCTATTTACAGTCGAATTAGTGTGGAATGTCGTCGAGATACCCACGTGCTGAGGCACGTCGTTACCGTCCGCAATCGGTCTGACGCCAGAATCGCTCCTGAAAGACTTCAGCGAAGCGAACGTACCAGACGCTGCCAGATCGTCCGGGGTGTTGCTGTTATCTTCAGTCAATTGCTCATTGTCCAGATCTGGCGTTTTAGAACATTCTAAAATATCCGAACTCAAATCATCTGTATGGCTTTCGTCCAAATCATCTGCACTATCGTCTCCTCCATCATTACTCAACCTAGAACCCTGAACGGTAACACTCGTTATCTGAAAAGAGGTGGGTTTCTTTTTATGTCCTACCTCACTGTAAGGTTTCATAGGTGTCTGATGATTTGTTTCCGACTCGAAACGGGAGCTTCTCTCGCGATCTCCGCCATCTCTCTCAGCCATCTCTAAACTGCTGCCCGACCCTCTCAACTCGCCAATGACATCGGGGACAAGGTTCAAAAACTGGTTCAGTAACTCTCAGATCCGTTTATAACCATAACAGGATCAATCTACACTTCCAATTTTTGTATTCTATCTACTTTTTTTCGCAACGAAAAACCACATCACATCCTGTACTCACTGATCAAAATGGCGACCATGTGTCAGTCGCCCTGTCTTGCCAGATGCTCCCTACGTAAATAGCCAAAAGATAGTGCATTCCGATCTCCAACATAACTCCAATTCCCATCTACTGACCTCTTTAATAATCCCATCCATCATTTTTTTATTATTAAATTCAATTCGGTACATAAAAATATCTTTTTAAATATATACAAATATTAATACTTTATTAAATTATTAAAATAAACATCTTTAACGAACTTTATATAAAATTCTCTTCAATTAAATAAATTAAATTTCAATATATTAAAAAATATTATGTTTTATGTTTTAAAGTTGCGTGTAATTTATTGTTATTGATAAAAATTATTACGCAAACATGGAGGATCTATAAGTTTCAAAATTGATATTTTACTGCCTTAATTGCATGATATACTGTAAAGACTACGGTTATAATATTAACTAAATATTATCAAAAATGAATATAAATATAAATGCTGTAATATATTGATATATGTAATAATATTGCTACAATGCTAAAAAAAAGACAACGTATATCGGAAGAGTCCGGGTTCAAACCCGATCAGGAAAAATTTCCTTTATTATGCCCGATGTTAATTCTATTTCTTCAAACATGCTGGCCAGCTTTATTGTTGGTCAGGACTTATAATAAACAGAATTGAAGTTAGTGTCGCTAGGAAAATTCAATCAGATTTTACAAATTTATATATTAAGAAGAATCATCGTAATGATGGTTTGGAAGAGTCCGAAATTCTTCGGGCGATATGCCAAGGGATATCTCTCGGGAGGACTTTCTATGAAAAATTGATCTCTAGTTAGGTGTAGAAAATCCGAAAAACTAACACGGCCAGCTCATTGGACGGGCGCGACTTCGCGATCGGTTGTCAGTGTTCAGTGGTTTTATCCGTAGCTGTAAAATAAGATGATTGTTTCTATTGTCATTACTTTTGTGATGCCGTGCGGGTTGGAAACAAGCACAATAAAAGCTCTTTTTACAAAATACTATGCTTAAATAATTTTTATTTTCATTTCAATGCAATAAATTATATTACATTAATTATTTTTCTCGAATATTTTTCTTCAGTAACTTTAACGGTTAACCACAACATTTTTTTGATTTGCAAATTGCTTACTCACTTTATATAAAAACAAATCTAAATTATACTTTGATATTAATTTTGCCTCGAGTTTATTGCTTTATTGGATCGCAGTTGCTTTTATTCACTTGTATGACATTTGGTTGGTCTTTACCTATTTGAAATTTAATTTATCGAAATATTAGTGGTGAATTAAATACAATGTAAACGAAATACTGTTTAAAGCTATATTACTTTTACCAATTCGTGTCATATTCTATATAATAAACAATCAATAATATGAATTATAACTTATATGAGTTTATGATTTTCAAAAAGTTATTTAGATTTTTTGAAAAATGTGTTAATTCGAGTTTAGCATAAAACAGTGTTTTAAAACTTTGAATGCTCTATTCTAGTTTCTAACAACAGTATCTATTTCCCGCGGCCGGATGGCCGAGCGGTCAAGGTGGCAGCCTACCGCTTCGACTGAAATAATTAAATCCTAAATATGCGGCCGGATGGCCGAGCGGTCAAGGTGGCAGCCTACCGCTCTGGGGGACCCAGTTTCGAATCTGAACGGGTCAAAAAATCCCCAGGAATTTTTCGGGGGGGGTTCGTTTGGATATGTCGGGCCCCGTCCTTCACCACCCGGCAGCTCCATTGTGGGCCTGGCCGAACCCATAATGGGCCTGCAATTCTACAGGGCGGAAAGAGTGAAAAAAAGTATATTTTTCCTACAATAATATACCAAACACAGTATAGATAGTAATGCAGTAACATCAAAGTTTAATTAACTATCAAAATGGCACGAGATAAATATTGACTCTTGTTACTATCGATTTTCGAAGAAAAAAGAGAATTATAAACTTGAAACTTCTCTTTTTGGTCAATTTTAGACCGAAATGAATAGATTATTTGTATTGTGGACAATTTTGATATCTTATGTAACGTTTATTACAAAAATTTCTTCATTCTAAATAAAATTCTGGTCGAGCAAGATTCAGTTAGTTTGGATTTTTTATTAATTGTTACGACGATCGGATGGACGAGTGTTTAAGATGCCAACCATAGTTGTATACTGTATAAGTAACCTAGACAACGAACTTGCCATCGCTCACTGTAAAAGTGAAGCAATTTCAAATGATTACAACATACTAGTCGCCATATTGAATGCTGCAAAAATTAAAAAAAAAAAAAAAAAAAAAAACATAGAATAAACGACTAAATATTCAGATTTTTGAGTTTATAACAAACTTATATCCGCTATTTAAATGCAATTTTTGAAAAAATTTTTCGCTTTCGTAAATAAAATAATATTAACACAGTTTAAAATTTTTTTTATGAAAAATAAAAAATATACAAAGATATAAATATAATGAACAAATATACAAAGAGCGAAACTTTCGTTCTTATAAACATGCAGATAAGCTATTTATTATACAGTATATAACAAACACATTACTAAGGTAAAAGTAGGTAAAAAATATGTACAGTGTCGGACTGGCAATAGATTTTGGCCTGGGAATATATATCAAATATACAATAATATAACTTCATTGCAATCAAAAGAAAGAAAGAAAGAACAAAAAAAATACAAATGGAGAATCATTGACCGGATGGCATTTCTCAGATTTCCCGGAACACAAACAAAGCAAACAACAACGACAGAATATGAATTTACATTAGAAAAAAAAAATACATTATTTGTTTTAATTTAGTAATTTTATCTATAATGTGAACTTTAAATCAAAAATCGTCACACTTATAAACTGGAACTGTATGATCAAATAATCAACACCTAAATGCGATTTCCAGCAAACAATAAAGAAAAAAATTTACTGCTCAAACGTTTTCGGCCATCATTTAGAGTCCCTCATCGGGAATGAACACATAAAAACAATTGTATCATTCGAACTTCACTGCGTTTCAATCTTTTAAACATTTTAAAAAATGTTCGATACGGACATCGTCTCGTCTACATCATAAAATTAAATAAATAATTATTTTTAAATAAAGCTACAAATTAAATGATTATTATTACATTCTGTGGCAATCTAAATAATATTTCCACAATTGCGGTATTGGTATCTAAGTTAGCTAACACTAGGATTAAGTGCAAAGCAGAGTGTAATCGTGTACTGTAGTTATGTGTTAGAACCGTCCCTACTTTACAATAGGATTGCTAATGATTTAAATTTGCTCTTAACTTATAGGTGAAAACCCAACGCTTTCCGCCGTTTAGCTAACGCATAAGACATCTCGGATGACACAAAAGCGTCAGGGGTGTACCGTATTCCATTACGAGATGGACGATTTAACAGGTGTACGTTATACATCGGATCCACATACAGATCCCTTCAAGCCAGAATACGCGACCATAAATATGATGTGGTCAAGGGGAATTATAATCCGTTATGCTGCCGAACCCGGAGTTCCCGCTGTTGAGATGAAACTATCCTTTTACATAGGGTCTCTGACAGGCACGACATACGATCCCTAGAAACTTTAGAAATTTATATAGCTGACATGCAGGGAAATTGCATCGACTCGGACTGTATTCCAGTACCGCAATCGTGGAAACATTATTTAGATTGCCACAGAATGCAATAATAAGAATTACAATAATTATGTAAATCTAATTACATAATTAGATTTATTAAGTTCTTCTATTAGTAATCTTATTAACAATCTGGATCAAAAAATCATCAGAAAATTTTAGGGAATGATCCGTTCGGATGAGTAGAACGTTGTCCGACCGCTCCATCGTGGGACTGGACGAATCCTTAATGGGCTCGTAAGAAAAAAAAACCCTTCTTAGTATCTACAGGGCGAAAAGATTACCAGAAAAATATTTATAGGAATATCTATAAATATTAATTTATTATTTGATAAAATGTTTCTGATTTCAGATAAAACTAGGAATCAAATCATGGCCTTTATTTAATGTTTAGTAAACCAAATGATCAGGCGGCCTATCACTTTTTGCGACCAGAGTTTATATTCCTTCTAAATTTTATTATTTTTCGTAAATTTTTCAGAACGGAACATCAAACTTTATCTTATTCATGCTGGATAATTCTATTACTGTTCTGGATTATCAGGAATAAACAATAAATCAATCTGGTATATATTCCATAATGAGATAAATGCTAAAACAGAAATTTTTAATATTTGTTACGAACAAGTTAAGTGGTAAATATAAAATACGTTTAATTAATAATATTCTTTCTACTTTAAGAATATTAAATATATGAGAAGAAACGTCGAGTTCCTCCTGACACGGCGATTTTCAAAATGGCCACCGAAGCAGCGAATAAAATAATTTAATTATTTTGAATTTTTTCTATTTTTAGTAGAATAATAATATTACTATTTAACTTTCTTAAATAATTGCAGTATTGGAAAATTAGATAAATTATTTAATACTGTTAATTTTTTAAAAAATTCCTATTAAAAGCGTGTGTAGACTTTTCGGATGCTTTGTTTGTGTTCTGAGCATATATCAAAATGAAAAAGCATAAGAAGAATTTTTTAAGCTCAAAATTAATATTTTTTACATAATTTTACCACTTATATTTATCAACATTATTTTATTTACTAAGGCTCGATTTTGGCGAGTTAGGTATGTCTTAATTTGGCAGTTATTGTCACATTTTTAAAATTTGTACACGTGGTTTCGAAGGGAAACATTCGAAAGATTGAAAATGTTAAGTATTTTTGATTTAATATACGACGAGAAGAAAGCGGAAGATATTAAATCGCATTATCTTGACGCTTGTACTCAATTGAGTAGTTTTGCGGTTGAGGTAAGAATTGAATTATTATTTTTTAACGTCAGAAAGCAGACTACATATTATGTAAAGGAATATTTTGCAAATGAATCAAAAATTATAAATTATATAAATGTATCTTTGTTAATTTTACGTGAAATTAGGTAGTTGTTAAACAGAATTCTGCTTTATAGCGACTTCATTTAAATTCGAGTATTTGGTAAGATTATTGAAATTCGTGATAAATTTATTAATTTGAGTAAAATTATAATCAAAGATGTATCAAACTCTGTGCTTAACGGGACACCAGTCAATTGATTTAATCCGATTTGTGTTTACATTGTAATATTAGTTTTAATTTTTATTAAATCGTATTGAACGTGTATTAAACATTATGATATTAAACATGTGTGAATTACGAAATAAAATATCGATTTCGCTAAAAATAGTGGTAAAATGACTGGTGTCCCATTAAGCACAGAGTACCAATTATATTTTGGATTCTGCATCTCAACATCTATACGTAATCTAGAGTTGGTAAGACATGAACTCTTTTTGCTCGTACAGGTTTGCTTGTACAGGAGGTCTACAATTCTGGGGTGGTTTCCCGACCCCAGAATTGTAGACTCTTGTACAAGCAAAAAAGTCAAAGGAACCGTACCCATATATGTGAGCCTATGCAAGATATTTGTCTCCAAAGACCAGTTTTTGGTGGGTACTGGTATACTGCCTATTTCTGTGCTCCTATCAGTCGAGGCGAGCTATTGATCGATGCTCTGTGTGCAGTCGTATGCTTTGGTGTTTGCTATTTGCATTTTTCACTCGATGCTCGCCCTGTGGTGTTTAAAAACAAAACTATCTGGGTTGTTTGAATCATTGTATATTGTCAACAGTAAAGATGAATAGCAATAGAAAAAGCAAAGCTTTGTGCCAAATTGCAATTTCAAAGCTATACGGCAGTGTTTTTCAACCAGTGGGTCGCGACCCCTAGGGGGTCGCAAAGCCTTACAGGGGGTCGTGGGTAAAAGAAAAAGACAAGTGTTTGTATTGATAGGTCCTACACTACAATAAAAAAAAAAAAACTACAATTTCAGTGAGAAGGCTGTACAGTACCTGTTTATTTTACAGTACAATTGGTGTTTTGATTGATATTTAGGTCTTAACAGAAAGAAAATTAAATACTTAGTTTTTAAAATCACTGATATAGTTTTAATATGGCCCTGGGGGGTTGCCAGAAGTTATTAACTTGTAAAGGGGTCACATATTCAAGAAGGTTGAAAAACACTGCTGTACAGGAACTCAATATAAGTTTTTGTCTATTTCCACGTGAGAAACATGATTGTTCAGAAATCAGAATTCGAAGAAGCTTATAAATATAACTGACAGAAAGAGTGGATTTGACTGTTAAGAATTGACTAATAAGTTTGCTGATTGTACAGCTTTATAAGAACAAGTTATGCTGCCAATTTTAAAGGAATTTTCCGTAATGTTTAAAATGCCAATAATTTTTTCTGGGATACAGAGCCGGATTTAAGCATTTTGAGACCCTAAACTGAACTCTGTTAGGCCCCTTACCAACCCTTCACATTTTTTGAAGTCAGTTTTAAAAAGAAACGAGTTAACATAAACATATTAACTACTTTTTATTTTGTGTAGTATTTAAAGTATATTTTTTTGGTTTGTAAAAAAATTATTACAAAATTTGACTTCAATTTTCTTTTTTGTAGAAATTTTTGAGGCCCCTTGAAACTCGCAGCCTTAAGAAAAAAGGTAACTTGCATACTTGTAAATATGGCCCTGATGGGACAGATGTCAAAGCTAATGTTTTTTAACACAAAGAGCACAACTGTATAGAATGATCTCATTCGTTTGTTTCGATAATAGCACATATAATGACGTGTCCCACTAGCAANTGGGGAAAAGTTTCCAATTTAAAGATTAGATCATAAAATTTGATTGTTTTGCAATTTAGCAAAAGTTAGTCTAATTTTTTAAAACTGAATTGTGTGTTGCAATTATATAATACATATTTACAGATAAAAATTTAAAAAATAATTATTGAAATAATTTACTATTAAGGACAATTTGTGTTGGAATGTTTCTCCAATAACTTACCAATCTTCCTTGCTATTTTGAGAAGATTTATTACTATAATTTACTTATATGTTTTGAATGTTAATATTTATAAAACTGAAAAATGGAATTGGGTGGTAGTAATTCACTCATTTTAACACATTTTTAAGAAAATGAATGATGTAAGCATTACAACCTTTGATGTGAACTATTTAATCACTTTAGTATTTTCATTATCTCATTAATTTATTAAAAAGTATTTTGCCAAAAAAGAATTTAATAAAGAATAATTATTAAAAATTTTCAGGAAATTATAAAAATGCTTTAAGTTNTTAAAATATATTTTTTGATTGCTAGAATGATTCTCGTCTACTCAACAAACAGCTAGCTTTTGATTTTATAAAGGACATACTTGGCCATTCCCGTCACTTTCCCGAGCTGAAGAAACAATTCGACAATATTTCTCAGTCGTTAATAACGAATGTTTTGAAGTTTTCGATTGATGAAGTAAGTGAATTATTATCTCTCCGTGTAATATTTTTCTTAGTTTTTACAGTTTCACTTTTTAGAGGTTTAACAACTTTGTTTATTCATTCTTGGTATTGACTTGGATGAAATCCAGTATTTACTCTAGTTAAAATTCTTTCCAAGGTCTAATCTTCCGAGTCATTCATCAAGTGACTGCTTTATTTAAATGGGGAAAAGTTTCCAATTTAAAGATTAGATCATAAAATTTGATTGTTTTGCAATTTAGCAAAAGTTAGTCTAATTTTTTAAAACTGAATTGTGTAATTCATATATAAAAGTAAAATAAATTAGTTTGAGAAGTTTTAGAAAAGTCTTCTGAGGAATATTATGCTGAGAATTAGTAAGAATAAATTAAAAGTTTTTCATTGCATAAGTCATTTAGATATGTAACTTTTTAAACAATAGGAGTTCTTGATTGTAGTTATGTTCAAACAATGCACAATTTATAACAAAGTGATGTATTTAATAAAAAGTAAAATACATCTGGATACGAGTCCAATTTTGCTTGCCATGTCCAATCACCAGGAACAACTATTTCCATTGCAGAGACGACCTTTCTTTAGAGGCTATGCCTCTGCACAAATATGTAAAACAGTTTAAAATGCCCACAGGTGACAATCCCAACACAATTAAAAATATAATATTTCTTTGTAGAAATATTATATTTGTAGACGTGGCAAGCAAAATTGGACTCGTATCCAGATGTATTTTACTTTTTATTAAATTGTAATTCTGCCAGCCCTTTTCTACAAAGTGATGTATATCAAGCATTCATTTTCCACTAAACTAATGTAGTATGTAGGAGATATATAGAATTATGTAGGCATATGACTAGGAAAAACTTATTTTATTGTACTTTAAATAAAGTCTAATACAGAATATTTTATTATAGTTAGTAATATTTAGAAAGTACAGTATGAAATAAAATGATTAATAAAACATTAAAAATTTGAGAGAGTACATTCTTGTTCAAATGCCAAGTACAAATATACATTTTGTATATCAAGTTTACCATCACTAATTAATGAACAGTGTATTTGTGAAACAATATATATCAGTGTGAAATATATTGAGAGCCCTCTATATGTATTGGGTCATCAAGGATGAAATTTGTGGAAAGAAAGGCAAAGTTGGTTGATAACTTACAAATATAAGGAATTATTTTATTCATCAAAGTATGCACCCATATTGTCACTTTTGCCATTTAAGCGGCACGTTCAGCCCAATGGTATAAAACCCTGGCGGACGAGAGTCAATGAATTCCTGGAAGGCCAGTTTTACAACATTGTTAAAATTAAATTGTTTTCCTATTAAAAAGTTGTCCAAATTGCGAAGAAGTGGTAGTCAGTGGGGGCTAGGTCTGGTGAGTATAGAGGATGATGATGAAGTTTCAACTCCAATTCCTGTAGTTTTGCCAGAGTCATTTGTGCAGTGTGTGGTCTAGCGTTATCATGCAATAAGATAGGAGTTGATCTGTTGAACAATCTAGGCTGTTTTTCTTTACGTTTTTGCATCATTTCATCCAGTTGGTTGCAGTATATTTCTGCTGTGATCAATAAGCCAGGTTTCATGAAATCATAATGGATCACACTTGTGCTAGACCACCAAACACTCATCATCAGCTTCTTTTGATGAATATTGCACTTTTGAGATGTTTTGGTGATTCATCCTTGTCCAACTACTGTGCTGAACATTTGTGATTGTCATATTGGATTCATAGTAACACTAGACCCAAATACACTATTAATGTTTCGCGTGGTTTGTGATGCCGTAGTTCCACGTAAGAAGTCATACTGCATAATAGTGCGAATTTCCGACCGTTCCATTTACAACAATGATTTCTTTAAACAGGTGAGATATGCAAATTTCTAACAAAAAAAAAACAGAATGGTAAAATATTAAACCGAGGTCAAATAATAAGCTGTTACAATTGGCAATATTATTACCTACAAATTTCATCCCTGACGACCTAATATTATCACTATGTGACTACTTTGTAGCTAATCCAATCTAAAAATATCCAACCTCATTTTTGGTCACTTGATTAATTTCACTTTGGGTCTGGTCTGTTTGTGATAAACAAAATTGAGATCTATAGCTTTCAATGTGCTTGTGTGTCTAAGTTAACAAATGAGTCAATCAATTGAATATGAAGAACTAAATTATAGTATTATGTAAATTTTATTGTTTTTTACATAATAGATAAATGAGAGGTGTGACAGTCATCTGTTTCTAAAAGTTTTTGATATGGGTGTGATATCTCTATCTGGTTAAATGCACAGAGTCGTAATATGTTATTTACTGATAATGTATTTTAAATAGATTGAGTCACAAAATATTATCAAAAAAAGAAGAAAACTTTATTGTGTTTGTGGACTTAAAACAAGCATGTGTCAGGGTTGATTATGGTCTTGTTATATAAACTTACTTTATTTGGAATATCAATTCTATTTATTTATCTAATTTAAATTTATTTGCAAATATGGAATATATTGTTACATCAAATCTAAAGTATAGTGAAAAAATAATTTTAAATTTGGGACTTCCACACAAGGGAATCATTGAATCTTTTATTATTTAACCTGTTTATAACTGACTTAACAAAGCATTTGGGAGACAATTTAGGTTTGGGTGTTGTGATTGAATCACAAAGAGATTGAAGTGGTGATGTTCTTTAAGTATTTAGCAGTTTTGTTCTTTTTGAGCGCACAACAATTTACATGTTGATCAGCTGATGGGGGAGACAGAAAGAGAATTTTCTGGTTTATTTTTTTGTTTGTTAAATTGAAATTAAATTTGGTTAAAGCCCGTTTTATACTCTTTGATCCTTGGTAGTATCAAAGTTACTTTGTTTTGGATTTGGAGATTAAATGGTAGAATAATCAATAGACCAGAAGCTTTACAATTAAGGTTTTGCAGATTATTATTTACAGTAAACTCAAGAACTGCATCTGATCTTTTAATTCAACTGGAGTTTGGTAAAATTCCTTTTGTGAAGCTCCAGACAGGGTCCAAATTCCTCATTAATGTGCTTAAAAATATTTTATTATAGAAAGGAATGTTGAAAAATAAACACATTGTGAAGGGTATAAAATAAATGAAAGTCTTGAGTGAAAATCAAACATGTGTTGGATCATAAAAGTTGAACCTTGATGCTCATATAACTGATAAAATTTGGGCAAAATGGAATAACAAGACAGTCTTAATGAGGGAAAAAACATTACATTATAATTGTTAAAATTCTTAGATGATAGAAGAGAAAACATTATTTAAAATGACTAAGACAAAATCTTTCTCACTTTTTTCTAGCTGTTTAAACACTTGAGTACAAACATTTTCGGCCTTCTTAAAAGGCCTTCCTCAGGTACACTGTGGTCTGTTGGAACGTCGATTGGTAGATATTCAAACAGTGACACTGTTTACAGTTTGAATACCTACTTCTGTACAAACATTTGTACAAAAGTAGGTAGGCTTAGAGTAGCTTAAATTATGTGTCTCCAAGAATGCACCTTAAACATAGGATATCTCTTACAAGTATTTTTAGATATATGTTGGAGAGGAGATTATACTTATTAAGAAATGAAATAATATAGAAACAGAACCTGCACGTATCCATGATGTATGTATCCACATCTGTTATCAAGGCTTAAATTTCAAGTGAAGGTTACGTATGCACAAATTAGGCTAAATAAGTTTGACTGATAGTTAATAATAATTACATAAAAATTGTAAGATTTAGTCAATGTGAATTTTGTAATGGAATTTATGAAGTTATGGTAAGATATATTTTTGTTAGGACCACCTACAGAAACATTTTATTTTATGTTATCAATTAAAATCTTACTTAATTCCATCACATGTTTGGCCTGTGAAATGTCCTTTGATGTTCAGCAGTGCAGGTGGTCAGCATTTTGGTTGTGACTTCTACATAATATGTATTAGTACCACAAGTGCTACTTAAGATAGGGATTTTATAAACGCTAGAAATAAACTTTCCAACTCAAGATATTTTCCACGACAATTTCAATGAAACAAAAGTGTTTTAGATTCAAAGTTTATAGATCTTCATCAGTTGAACATTCAAACATAGAACATTTTTGAATGAAAAAAACATTTCAATACAAAATAGAATAAATATAAAAGATAAAAAATAGAACAAAAAGTAACTGCAACTAACAATAAATAATTAAAAAATATGCAAATATTAACTAATTAACAAGAATACAAAACTAATAAAATTGTAAAAGTGCATTGTAGAAATATCTGCCATAAAGAGACAGACCATTGTGCTGTAGATAGCAAGTCTACATCCTTGGAGATGGATACAGTTGAATTGTCGAGATACAGTCTTGCTAGATATATACAATCATTTTATCACTTTTCCATTGTGTAATTAGAGAGGTTGAGGCACACGTTTTAAATGTGTAAACGTGTACGTGTGACGTTCGGCGCCGCTTTCCCGTAAGCCTAAAAGTTTGACAATGGTGTTTGGATAGTCGGTGGAATCATGCTCGACATTCCAAACACCATCGTCAAACTTTTAGGCTTACGGGAAAGCGGCGCCGAACGTCACACGTACACGTTTACACGTTTAAAACGTGCGCCTCAACCTCTCTATTTTTGTTCGTCTAGGATTGAATTCTTCATCAGAACTCATTGCATTTACACGAAAGAACTCTTCAAATACATAATGATAAAATTAATTTTCATATATGAAATAAAACAGTAGAAATAAAAATTTTTAAACTTTATTGCATTATATTAAAAAATAACATTAAACTATGCAAATATTTATAAAATAAAAGTTATGACACAAATTAAGAATACTTGAAACCATTGACTTCATTAATTACTTAATTCAAAGGATCACTGTATAATTCAATGTGTCAACATTTTATTTTCAAACATTTTTCAAGATGTTTCACATCTCATTATGAATGTGTTCAATTTGGCAATGAGATGCGAAAGATCTCAATCAAAAATAAATATGTCTACTCGTTGAGTTATGTAGAAATCTTTTGAATTAAAGAAAACAAACTACATATGGTAAATAAAATGCATTTGCAAAATATTACCTTAAACATTTTATTTTATTTTTATAGGATATTTCCAATGAATCGTTACTTTAAATTAATAGTTAATATGCAAATTATTAATTAACAAATAAATCATAAATTTACAAAATAACAAAGAAAAATAATAACGATTCAATTTTATTTAAATTTAACTAATTTAATTTGCAGCTAAATAATCAGTCTCTCATTTCATATTTGATTATACAGGTATCCCATGCTTAACAGTTTTCCTTAATACAGGATTTGATTAATGTGTGAAATTAAATGTCTGTATGGCCAAGATTTTTATGATGTGCTTTTATAATTTTATTAGTTTCATATTCTTGTTAATTAGTTACTATTTGCATATTTTTGTTATTTATTATCAGTTGTGTTTACTTTTAATTTCCTTTTAATTACTTCAAATGTTCGACTGATGAAGACTCATAAACTTAGAGTCAAAAACATTTTTGATTTGTTAAAATTGTTGCTGGAACATATTTTAAGTTGTGAATTTTATTTATTTATATCTTGATTTGAAATATAAAAAGAAATGACACTTGACTTAATCACTTTTTCATGATTTTAAAGACTATTACAAATTTTAATTGGTTAATTATCAGATTAATTATAAAATTTATAATTAATATTTAATGTAAATGTTTGATTAAGTTGTTTTTTTAATTGACCTATTTAATTATACAAATATTTACAATTGCTATTCTACTTTGAATTTAGTTAGAAGTGAAAGGTTTGGAATGTTTGAAAGAATGTATGAAGTATTTTCCTGGTGCTTGTGGAATAATGAAGGTAAGATTTTATTATTATATACAATAAGAATATTACTTTTTTGAGTTTTGGTGAAAAGTGTAATGCATCTTTATTAATGAAAGTTATAGGAAAAAATTCAGTTTGTTTACACTTAGTTTATGGCACGATTTTTAAAATAAATTTCTCATTTTTCCTTATTCTTTAGTTTTCTTTTGCACATTTGTAGTTTTTGCAGATTTAATGCTTATATGTGTTGAGCCCATTCTTTTGTTTATCACCAACTCAATATGGTTTAGGTATTCATATTCAAGAACAATTTTGGGTAAAAATTCATAAAATTATCATCATATGTTCCTGTTTCTAAGATTCACCAAGACCTTGAGATAGAATTTTGATTTATTTTTTGTGGCAAGAGAAATTCTGTATTAAATGCTTATTTCAGAGAGCCATCTGTTTAAATTATCCACAAGGGAATGTTTTTGTCCTGTTTAGGATATCTTTCACTTCATTTTCATTCTAATGAAGCTGAAGCTGCCCTAAAACAGGATGAAAACATTCCTCCCTGGGAAATTTAAATAATTGGCTCTCTGAAATAAGCATTTAATACAGATAACAATATGAAGTTAAAATACATTAGGTATTATTTGAAAGAAATTCTTAAATAATTAATTTTATTAAATTTTGTAAAATAACAAGTTAGAAAAACAATACAAATGTCATGAAATAAGTGATTTTAGTAGCTGTATTTCCATATTTTTTTGCATATATAAATTAACTAGCTGTTACCCGCAACTTTGCCCGTGTGGATTTTGCAAGCAAACCCCATTTATATTCAGTATTTCAATAACCATAGTAATTGTTATATAACACCTACCACTGAGAATGATGAGAATTGTCGAGAATCAAACGAACTGTTTTTAATTTGCTCAATTTTATGGAATGTTTACAATTGTTCTATAATCGAACCAATATGCAATAACAAATTCGAATTTAAAACTGTTTGAGCAGTTTATGTACATATCTCTTCTATGTTTTTCCTTACCAAATTGGATATTAAATTAATACTCATCAAACATAGTAAAAAATTATGAAGTTTTGTATGTTTTAATATACAAGTATCTAGAAATTTCACTTTATAAATGTTTATGAAGAATAAATTGTATTGAAGTTAAGTTAAATGTTAATAGAACTGAGAAATTTAATATTTATGCAAATAAGTGTCAATGAATTTTTATTATTTTAACTTAGAAATTTTTTGATTTTTCAAAAAGTTACGAAAAGTTCAAATACATTATCAGTTAATTATTCTTTTAATATATTTCTTTTTCGAAATGTAATGAAGTAATTTTTTATTGTTTCATAAAAGAAAAGTTGGTTTGATATTCTTAGTGAATGGGATGAGAATATAAAAAACGTAGGGAAAGTGAGTTCATTATTTTTGCCGTCAATTCCAAGCATCCATCAGAACTAATGGATTTACAGAATGAAAATGAAGGGAATTAAATGACATATTTCAAGACCTTTTCATTGATGATATCAGTTAAGATTTCAGAAATATAATCTTTGCTTCTGTTCTTAATTATCATTATTTTCTGTAGAAAAAGATGTGAATTATTTTTCTACTTTTGTATATAAATTATTTCTAGTTATTTATGTTCTCTATCCACTTGGAACATTATTCATATTTTTCAGTACGTTCGAAAGTAGATAGTTTGTTTTCTACCATATAATTACCTACTACCTGAAAGTATATTATCAAATTTAATAAAAATGTTAAGATATTTTGATATCTTATATAAATTAAACACCTAATTAGTAAAGGTTGCTGATTTATTCACTTACTTTTGAGTTGTGGTACGTTCTATAAATACAACATTAACATTTTTTCTGCTAATGGTAAAGAAGGAAAAAATGTTATAACTGGTGAGCTATTTATCTTTGACGTGCTTAAAAATTGTTCCTTTGACTCAATTAATAAAAATATTTATAACAATATCTGAAATGTTATCAATTTAGCACCTAAGTACTCAATGAAGACTAACTGTAGTTGAAAACAAAAAATTGCATCTAAAATAGTACAGTAGAAGCCATTCTTCAGGTTATGCTCTCCTTCTCCCTCCACTGGGGAATTTCGAAAAATCCCTTCTTAGTGTGTGTTTTCATGATGTACTCTAACTATACCAAATTTTACCTCTAGGTTTAGCGGTTTGCTCTGGGCGATGTTGAATCAGTCAGTCAGGACAAGTAATTTTGTATATTTAGATAATTAATATGCACTGTTTTATAATACCATATTGTAATATTATCTTGAAGAAATTTTATAATTATTAAACTGAATTTAAAGGCTTGTTAAAGCTCATTTGAATGTATCTGAATCAAAAATGTTGATTGATGTATAATGCATCACATAGTCCACTTATAAAGCTGTCAGATTTCTACAACTGAATGATTAAATAAACAAAATTTTGTTTTGATCTCTTCAATTCCATTAACCCTTAATAAATTACTTAAACATTATAAAATTAAGGGAAAATGCTTAATTGTAATTATTAATAAAATACAAAAGAATGCCTTAATTTTATAGTGTTTGATTATGACACTTAAAAAGGATTAATGCTTTTATCTTTTACTCTTTCTATCTTGTGGGCACCGAGAGGGCATTTTTTTCAGGTTCATTGTGAGTTTGGCCTGACCCACCATGGGATAGTGGAGTGGTGAGGGACATGGCCTGATATATCCAGGATGGACCACTTTCAAAAATTTCCTAAGGATTTTTCAACCTGCCGAATTTGATTGAAAATTTAAACCAAAGTTTCCCATAGTTGGTAGGCCCTTACAGTTTTAGTCAACTGGCTGGCTATGATTCATGCTATCACTCTCTGGCTTTTACTCTACCCTGTCCTACTCCAAAACAGGAAAATTGAATGGAACCACAGATTGTTGAACTTTGTCTAATTTAACACAACTTTTTTTCTACAGATAACAATAAATCTGTTAAACTAGGTAGCTATTTTGAATTGAACTTTTTCAACTGTATATGCATTCAGTATGTTTAGATCTAATTGAAGTGTTTGGGCAATGTAAATAATAATGCTTAATATTAACAATGCAACAAATATTTGGTTACTATTCAGTATTTGGTTGAATACCGAATACCTAAAAACAGGAGTAAGAAATAACAAAAACATAGTAAATTAATAATTTTGGTAACTTTTATTAATTCTGAACATACATTTCAAGTTCGAGAAAGTGCAATTTTTTGCTTATTTATGTAAAAGATCAAAGGAAAAGTAATATAACCAAGTTATTTTTTTAAGAGATCAAAAAAAGATAACAAATGAAAACTACTATTTATTATGTAGTTTAGTCATCTATATACTCGTATATAAAAGAACAAGTCCTGATAGGATAATTAATGCAGAGCCAAAACTACTGGTGCTAGAAACTTAAAAATTTGAGGGTATTCCTTTTGTAAAGTTTAGGCATGCTAAGAAAAGATTTTACGAAATTCAACTCTAAAGGGGTAAAAAAGAGTAAAAAATTCATATGAAAATTTTTACTGCGTGGGCACATTAGATCGAAACTTAGGTCATAAAATGTGAAAAAATAATAATTAATGATCTGTAAAGCATTTTTATGAAATCATCCCTTATTATAAACTTGAAAATTAAATTAACTGTTTTGTTTCATTGTACAAAATTATTTATCATAACTGAAGTTCCGGACAGCTTGGTAGCCTGAACGGCTCCAGGCTTTCTCCCATAGATGCTAAGTGAGTTTCATTACAAGCATTTAGCTTTCTGAAAGTCTATGAGAACAATTATTTGGCATTGACGACCACAAATTTTACGCCAGTAATCTGCCTTGACTTGTTCGATTATGCTATCAACTCAATTTCATAATTATTTCCACATTTTCACTTTGCGGTCCTTCTCTGTTCATTTTCCGTTATTTACACGTGTAGGTCATTTCATTGTTATTCACATTTGATATCATCATTTATCACATACTACCATGATGCTCGTGTCTGTCCGCTACAACTGTCAAGAATTAATGCGATTGACGAAGTGTAGTGACAGTGGGCCAATAGAGAGCAGGGTGTGTGATTCTTTTCATAATGTGGTTTGTGTGCCAATTTTCGTATGTGTATTAATCAAGCTGAATAGTTTGGTTGAATATTTAGCTATTCGGCCACACTCCTGGCCGAATAGAATATTCGATGAATGGATCCTGGCCGAATAGAATATTTGGCCAGGATCCATCCAATTGTCGGCTGAATATACTATTCGTTAATATGAAAGTGTCAAATTTGAAATCCTCTCGTATTATTTCTTTTTAAGATTTTTCTAAAAAATCAATTAATTTAGCCACTAAAAATAAAACAGATCCCATACTGAGATAAACTATTAAATGTAAAATAAACTGTCTCTGGTATTAAAAAAATCACAAAACCTAATAATCAAGAGGCATGTTGTTGTTTACAAGATTTCACTTGCAAGCACTTCTGATAATTGATGCAGCATCGTCATTGGGCAAATGAATAGAAATGGAATAAGAATGCAAATTTAAAATTTTAAAGCAGTAGACTTTTGATTTGTATATCGTAAGTGATTAAGGTTAAAATTTAGATACAACATAAAAATTAAATAAAACATATAAAACAATGAAATAAGTAAATATATAAATAATAAATACATGTACATGTAATCTTTAAACTAGTGGCCTCTAAATTTGTAAAAAACTATTTTAGCATTATAACAAACACTATTCAATGTTTAGGGATGGCCATCGTCAGATAATTGCAAGGATTGCAAAGTAAGATATGTATAGTTTCCAAGTGAAACTTAACCTAGGAGCTGCATAAGCCTGTAACAATATCACTTCCAAATAGGTTCATAAGTATCAATTAAAACCTTACTTAACTTCATCATATATTTGGCCAGTGAAATGTATCGATGTTCAGCAGTGCAGGTGGTCAGCATTTTGGTTGTGACTTCTACATAAGATGTAAATCCCTATCTTAAGTACCACAAGTGCTACTTAAGATAGAAATTTTATAAACTCTAGATCTTTTCAAAAGAGCAAGTTAACCATATCATTTGTTAACAATTTCCTTAGATTGGGTTGGGAATGTGTGGCTAAAACAGAACCTTTCTTTCTAAAGATTCTTACTAACTTCAGAGGTACATGTTTGAAGTATAGAATGGAGAATGTGGTAAATGTTAATTTTGGTTTTACATACAGATAGAATGAAATGACTGAAACAATGATAACAATGTTGAATCATTTTTGTTACAGTTTTATAGGATCTGATAGTGAGATGTGTAGTCCTAAAGAACATTTAATCTGAAATAAATTCTGATTCTACTATTATACTATTCTTTACACAAATGGTCATATTCAATAGTTTGATATTCTCACATGCTGTAAATCCATTCTGACAGACATTTTGAAATGAGTCAATTCAGTCCTTTGTCTCAAAAATTTTTATATAGAGATCCATAAAATGTTCTTTAGGACTACAATGGTATTCACTAATTTTTTCTGAAATATGCAAATTTTTTTATTTTACTTGATTCTTTAAAATTATATTTTATAAATATAAATACAGTAGAGCGTCGATTTTCCGAATCAATTGGGGACTGGGGTTGTCCAGATAACTGATATTTCGGATAACTGATTTACATACGAAAAAAATAGTTTAACGTATCCGATGTCGAAATTTTTATCCGTTGCGTGTCGCTTTGCGTTGAATTTTCGTCGATGTTAAGACTAACAAAGACTATTGTATCGTTAAAAATTATTTTTTTAAATTTTGTACAAACAAAATAAATATATTGAAAAATATAAAAATAATAAAAAATTATACTTCATATGTTAATTTAGTATCAAAAACGTAAAATATTTGAGTAGCCCAAGACATAGCCANAAATAATTGCACATGGATAGGTTGGTGAACGAGGAGACCAATAAATGTACCGAATCTGGAAATGAGGCAACCTGGGAAGAGACAACATATAACATCAGTTGATGTTCTAGCTGTGTGGGCTGTCACCACCCCATCTTGTTGAAACCACACACACCTGACAGGAATACATTTTCATCATAATCGTATGAAATAAACTATTATTAATATTTAGAAATTTAAAGTTTGATTATTTATCCAAAAAAACATTAAATGTATTATCAAATTTATTTATTTTAGTCCCAGATCGAAGCTCACATTTGGAAAATTTTGATGAATTCGGATAGTGAAAATAAGGAAGTAAATATTCAGTTAAATGTTTTAAGAATCTTACAGTTATAAAATTTTTTGATTAAGTTAATATTATGCTTAATATTGTGAAATTTCAGATTGCTGCTTCTTGTTTTGCACTACTTGTTATGTGTGGAGGAGGAGGACACAATAATGTTAACTATGTTTTGAATTGGCAGAATCAAATGTCCAGATTGCTTTCGACACTTAATTTAATATTGTCGCAACTTCTTGAAGATATAGAAGTAGGTGAGAATTAAATTATCAAAATGCATTTTTGTTTTTCAAAATGAATTTATTTTTAAAGAAGTTAAGTAAGTGATTTTATAGAATTACTCATACTTAAATAGAAGACTTCAACAGAAATCCAGACTACTTTTTTCAGCTAGCCAACTGTTTTAATATATGCAATAACATATACATGGATCCATTTCAATTAATAATGTCAAATGAATTGCCGGATTACTTATTGAGCTGTGATGAGGCTAATTTAATGATTAGATATAAAATAATTGGCTCTGAATAGGCAGTTAGGTCACCATCTAATGATAAATCTAATAATTAGAAATAAATATAATTTTAAACTTGGGATATTCTTGAAGGAAACATCTGCCTGGAACTCACACCTGCAATTCCTGCTTGTCATGCAGATGCTTTGCCAGTTACTCTGCTTGGACTCTTAATCAAGCAATTTGTTTAGCATTAGTAATTGAATTGGGTTGATATACATTTTATTGTACAGGTATACCTATACCTCGGGTTATGTCATTTTGAATTAAGTCATTTTCGATTATACGTCATTTGTCAAAAAAATACATGCAAAATAAAAATCAAGTTTAAGTCATTTTATTCGACTTTACGTCTATCTGCCACAAATATTTAAGTTGTAATATCACTAGAAAAGCATTAAAAGTACATAAAATCATATTAAAATATGTACTTTTACAGTAAATGTTAATATAATCATCATAAATCCTACAGAACGAAATATGAAAACATCTGTGACTCTGTGTTGTCTTATTTAGCGGTCTTTAAGAGCTCAATATTGGCATTTTCCACGGTAGTTCCAATATCTACCATTTGGCATCGTTGTCAGCGCCACTCGATATTAGTAAATTTAACATAAATTAGTTTATTTTCTACTATTGCAAAATAATTTTAATAACTATATTTGTTATTTAACCTTACAAAATCTTATTTTATAATGTTTTCGAGCAAACCACATTCACAAATAAAGAGTCTGCGGTGTACTATAAACATTATTAAATTGTAAACATATACATTTACAAGTATGTATGTACATGTATTTGTAAATTTAGATTACTTTTTTTCTGTACTATATTAAAAACTAAAATTTATTTGTCTGTAAGCTTAAAATAAATTCTTATTAACCATATATTATTAAAAATGCATTTATAAATAAAATACAGAACTGGGAATGGTTTAGCCTAATGACAAAGAAATTCGGAGACAAGTAAATTTGACTTAAGTCGAAAAACAACTTAAGTCACCTCTCCTGGAACCAATTACTGACGTAAGGTGAGGTATACCCATACATATATATCATGCTGGGGTAAAAGTGAAAGTTGGCAGAGAGCATTGGCATTAAATTCATCTCCACTTGACACCTTGAGTGACCCAGTATTGTTATATCTAAATTAGTTAAGTAATTAATAACTCTGGAAGTGAAGACTGGATGGGAGTTTTGGTAGCGTAACTGGCAATGCATCTGCATGGCAAGAAAGAGTTGCAGGTTTGAGTCCCATTCCAGACCAATCTTTTCTTCCAAAATACAGGCAAAATACCGCTAGTTATAATCATCTCTTGATAAAACAAATTGCAGATATGAGAAAAAAATAACTTAAATAAAAAAGACCTCTATAATAAATTAATGACTGTATATACAAGTAATAGTTATGGGGTTGAAGATATAGAATTTTGCAATATCGATATTCAAGTATTCAAATAAATTCAAAAGATTAATAGATTCAATGTCTTGAATCTATTAATCTTTTGAATTTATTAATTGTAATTAATATTTATTTGTAAAGAAATGAATTTTTAAAAATATAAATTTGTTACAGATGTACGGGTTTGTCAAACCATTACCGACAATTACAGTCTTCCCCAAACGGTCGAAGGAAATTATACAAATTCATTTAAATACTCTCTGTATTTTCAAGCAGTGGTAGCATGTGTAGTGAAAATGTTAAAGTAAGGTTTTTTATTTTGAATTTTTAAACTATATTTGCTTATTTTAAATGTTTTTATGTAAATAATAAATTAAAGTCTCATTTGTGACGTGCTTATTTTATGGAACATCCACAAATATTAGACAGGTTGGAAACTTGACTTATCTAGTTGTTGAATAGTTTTAAGATTTTCTTTCACTGTGCTCACTTGTTATTACATCATCTATAAAAATATGATCAGTAATATTTCTAAATACAGGATGGAGCAGAAGGGACAAACTTTTTTAAAAACTCACATCATCTGTAATTGTTACTATAAAAGATATTTTTTGGAAGATGTGAGTTCGTATTGAAATAGAATTTTACAGAATCAAGTGTGGAAAACATCATCTCCCATGTGGTGTCTGTTATCAGGGATGCATTTCTGAAGGCAATTTTGGTGACTTCCATGCAAATAGCTTCCTTTGGTTCTTGCAAAGAATAGGCTTATGCTCAAATACACATGCCTTGAGGTATCTCCACAAGAAATAATTGCACATGGATAGGTTGGTGAACGAGGAGACCAATAAATGTACCGAATCTGGAAATGAGGCAACCTGGGAAGAGACAACATATAACATCAATTGATGTTCTAGCTGTGTGGGCTGTCACCACCCCATCTTGTTGAAACCACACACACCTGACAGGAATACATTTTCATCATAATCAAAGATGTGGAAACGTATTCTCATCAGATGTGTACAACTGAGCGATCCCCTTTGCAAACAGTTGTATGCAAACATACGGTGTTCTATTGTCCATAGCTCTGTTCATTCAACTGAAGAGATAATGCTAAGACCTCACTAGTTTCACGCTAACTGCACTTCACTGGTGGTGAGTTGTAGCCATTTCAAAAATGTCCGTCCTTTCTGCCCCACCCTGTATAAACAGGATGCTCACTTAAACATTTATCCAGAGCAAAAGAGATTTTTCTAACATTGGCCAAGTTAGGTTGACTGCAGTAGACATAAGTATACCAGATACAGGCCTCGGAGTCGCTCACTTTTCTCACTTGTACTCACTTTTCTGAAGTATCCTCACTTTTCTCACTTTTCAGGTCATTTTCTCACTTTTCTCACTTTTTTGGTCATTTCCACGTGTTTAAAAATTAGGAAGATGTGGGACCAATCAAAAATAGTTTTAAAGCCAGACGATCTGCCGTATTATCGAANTATTACTTTTTAGCTGAATATTATAAGCAACTTTATACCACAATCTTTTAAATATCTAGCACAAAACTTTTGCTAAACCAGTGTTTTTCAACCTTAAATACACGTCCCTTTTACAAGTTAAAAATTTCTGGCGACCTCCCAGGGCCATATTAAAATTATGTCAGTAATTTTAAAAACTATGTATTTAATTTTTTTTTCTGTTGAGACCTAAATATCGATCAAAAAACCAATTGTACTGTGCAAAGAAGTCGCAAGAGCCCTGCAAATAGTAACTTTGCCAAGGGGGCGCTGGAGGCAAGTGCGCCTTGTGCCGCCCACGCAGTAACGTACGCTCACCTTCTTTTGTTTCTGTCAGTTGTTCGAGTGTGCCAACTAGTACACATGTGATTGTATTGTCTTTGCGCTTTGCTCCACACGAGCATAAAATGAATACGTTTTTCAAAAGATCGTACAGACACTTGTCTTTTTCTTTTACTCACGACCCCGTGTAAGGCTTTGCGACCTCTCTGGGGGTCGCGACCCACAGGCTGAAAAACACTGTGCTAAACTAACATTTTTGAGCAAGTTTATACATCTTCATCAGGTGTAAACAGTGGCGGAATTCAATAACTTTACAACTAGTTTGCCACACTAGTTACCATTTTAAGTATAAAAAAGTATTTATTTATAAGTTTATATGCAGGGCCTTACAGTATTTTTTTGCATCAACACATCCCACACATTAAAAAAAATATACAAAATAATAGTAGCAGCAAAAATAAATTAAAACATACAATATAACAACATAAAACAAAGATGGCTAGACCTAATTGTGCCCCCTGACTGTGAACCCCAGACAAGAACAAATCACTGTTATCTGACAATTAGTTTAAAAGATATCCTAATGTAACAAACAGGATTATAATAAAAATCCGGCAAAGAGTTACATAACTTTCCCGGCTATTATGAGATCTTATTTAGAAAATAATTTTTATAATTTTAATTACAATACAACTTAATAAAATTACGTGTGGTGCCATCTGTTATGAGATTTTGTTATAAAAACTTTTTATATTTTTAATTACTATAAAATGGCAAAAAAGCTTAATTTTGAGGGTAGGGATGGGTTTTATAAAAAAAAAGTATAAATGTTAATAACAAATAAACTTGTCATTAAGTCTGATCCTACTCAAGATACACATGGCCTCTCTATCTCCCCACCCTCTTGACCTTTCCCCACCAAAATTTAATAGCATCAATGCCCCTCATATACAAGCCACCATGCTAAATTTTGTGAATGGTTGTCTCTTTAATCCGATGTATTCTTTTGGTAGACTATCTTACAGCATCAGGTTAACGAATTCTTTTATTATATTTACATATGCATTTCGAACTGGTTTCATATTTCCAGTTCCTCTTCAGTGCTCTATAAATTACAATTATAGATATTAAGTCGACAAAAATTTATACAGATTAAAAATTAACAAAGTATTTAGATGTTAAATAACACAACATAAACAAATTACTAGTACCTTTAAGGATTTTACACATTTCTTTTTATCCTCAGTTGGATTGTTATGAATCGCAGTATGACTTAACAATTGCTATAATCAATAATAACATAATCATAAAAATCATAAAATTTAGTGACACACGAGTAGTTTAAAAAACTATATAAAGTTTTCAAAAAAATCATACATACAGGTTTTTCTTTGAAACATATTCTACTAAAACACCAGTACTGTACTGGGCGTAAAATGTAATATGATGAAAATATTGCTATAAATGATAAACAATGATACAAACTAAGAGATAAAAATTTCTAAAAAAGGAAGGAAGTTTTTTTCTTTTACAAAAAATATACATACAGACTCTTTTTTTCTTTGTTTTAATATTCCTTGAACATTATTCCATTCATCAATTTTGGGCTTAGATCCGCAATATAATTAAACATTGCTACAAATAACAATATACAATAACAATACAATTATAAACCTCAAACAGATAAGTTGTACAAATATTTCTACAAAAATATACATACAGGTTTTCTTCTTTTTCCGTATTTTTTTGAAAATATTCCGTATTTTCAAAAAAATACGGAAAAAGAAGAAAACCTGTATGTAAAGCTTTGGTGGAGGTCAAAACAACACCTGAGAAGCCAATGTCAACATAGAAGTGACAGTCTGTTGCCAAATTGTTTGTGGGTAGCAGGAGGTAGGACAAGGTCATACCTCTTTTCCCGGCAACGGTTTGGTGGAAACCGCCCAGTTTGTCACTGGATGGCATTTTTGTTCTTTTGATCCCATGAGGTGGAAATCAGTTTGTCAGGTCAAGTGGTAGAGGATGAGAGAGGTCGTCGGTAAGGTGTCGGCAATATCCAAATAAAAGACACCATTAACAGATCAGTTCTTAATCATGTAATAACATAATCAGTTTGTAATTTGTAAAGAAAAGTTACTTTCCATAGATGAGATTTCTTCTCAAGAAATATCGCTGAGAGAAACAGCTGCAGCTAATACAAAAATTGGAGGGCAAGGCTATACATACAGTCATTGCAAAAATAAGTGTTCCATGAATAAATGCAGTTGTAAAAACAAGGGACTCTTGTGCAATTCAAAGTGCCATAACAGTTTAAGTTGTTACAATAAATAAGATTGTATAACATTAATCATATAATTTATGTGTAAGATTAATCATATAATTTATGTGTAAGTTTATTATTGTATTATTTTCTTTAATGATTTAGAATGTACTGTTCGTTTTAGGTTCAACAGTTTATTTACATGTGCTGTTACTTAAGCTTTCTCCTATTTTGATGTCAATATTAAAAAGTTGCATTTTTGTCTTAATGTAATAAAAATATTTTTATTCAACATTCACCATCAGTGCATGCTGAATGTCAACACTTGCCAGTGTAAATGAGAAATAATGATATTTAGCAAATATTTCGTACATACACGAAACAACTGAGTGAATGCTGACATTAACCGGAGATTCACATTCACCAGATATTGGTCATTCACAGTAACATATACANAACACAACATAAACAAATTACTAGTACCTTTAAGGATTTTACACATTTCTTTTTATCCTCAGTTGGATTGTTATGAATCGCAGTATGACTTAACAATTGCTATAATCAATAATAACATAATCATAAAAATCATAAAATTTAGTGACACACAAGTAGTTTAAAACTTTATATAAAGTTTTCAAAAAATCATATATACAGGCTTTTTCCTATCATATGTACAGGCATATGACAGGGCAAAAAATCATATGTACAGGCATATGTACAGGGCATAAAATGTAATATGATGAAAATATTGCTATAAATGACAAACAGTGATACAAACTAAGTGATAAAAATTTCTAAAAAAAAGGAAGGAAGTTTTTTCTTTTTACAAAAAATATACATACAGACTCTTTTTTTCTTTGTTTTAATATTCCTTGAACATTATTCCATTTATCAATTTTGGGCTTAGATCTGCTATATAATTAAACATTGCTACAAATAACAATATACAATAACAATACAATTATAAACTTTGTAACAGATAAGTTGTACCAATATTTCTACAAAAATATACATACAGGTTTTCTTCTTTTTCCTTAATATAGTCTACCGAAAGAATAAATCGGATTAAAGAGACAACCGTTCACAAAATTTTTCGAGTCTATCTTTTATCCTTTTTAACACACCACAGAAGTATCAGTATATTGGCTTGGATGAACTTCCACAGAACATGTGATAAATTATAATGAAAAACACACAAAGTTAAAAATTTTATAATTTTTATAATTTTTTATAATTTTTTTGTAAATAGTC